TTCCCTAATGGTAGAAAGCCTATATGTTGCCTAAAGCAGCACTGCACACTTGAATGACTGAACCATTGGTGCATGGTGCCCAGCAAGAGGGAAGCATCGCTTCTGAAAAAGCAGGGGTGTAAAATTGTGAGGGCCTTCTTAATGCTGTGGGAAGTTATTCTGGTAATGACAGTAACAAAAAATTGTTGCATTTATTTGTCCATGTTATCCTTTGTTGTGCTTACCCACCAGTAACAGCACTGAAAGTTTAAATGGGAGCAGTTGTTCAGTGCTCTTTCGGTATGACAAAATTTTGTGGCAGCTTAAAGTTTCAGATTAAAATGAGTAGCTGATCAATCATTCACATTGTGTTTGCCTAACTACTGAGCAAAAGTGTTGCAAAGCTGTGGCTAAGATTGTATTTATTTGTGATTGCCACTGACATAAATATGGTATAATTTAGTTATTGCAGGTCACTAAATTTAGATCTGTCTATTCGTGAAAACCTCAACTTTGATCCAAAGCATTGTGTGTGTTTGTGTGTATGGGTGTGTATGACTATACAAGGGAAAAGAAACAACAATTCAAAATGTACATTTGAATTGTATAATAGAAGCAAGAGAGAAGTTGTGTGTCCTTCAGAGGTTTGCAAGGTGCACACAACACTTAAATACATATTACTTCTATCATAAACTTGCAGGTACGTGTAATACAAAAAGTACTATTCCAGTAAAAACATTTATTGGTAACATGCCTAGCAGTTCTTACTTGCCTTCAGGCAGTAGTAGCAAATCTACCTAGGAAGAAAGAGAATCAATACTGAGCCTGCTGTACAGTTTATACTAATTTTCATCTCCAGTCAAACATTTGAGATTTTAGAAGCAATTGTTTCAAATGAATTTCATAAAGAATTTTGAACCAACTTGGTTTTTTTTTCTAGGACAGGATTCCATGGCTTTGTGCATTGCATGATATTCTAAAGAGGTAAGAGCATATCTAGCTTTACAAAATTTTAGCTAAAACCAGAAAAAGTACTAAAATGTTTTTCCCCATTGCATTCCAAGGCAGAAATGTATGTAGTAGTGTAAAGACAGTCTGTGGGTAGTAAAGTCCTTCTAACTTGACTAATCTAAGATATCATAATAATGGTTGAGGGTGAGCTAATCTCTGCGTAATACAGAATCAGCAAATCAGGTTGGAAAAGACCTCTGAGATCATCAAGTCCAGCCTATGACCTAACACCACCATGTCAACTAAGTGCCATGACCTTAAAGACCTCCAGGGATGGTGACTCTACCACCTCCCTGGGCAGTCCATTCCGGTGTCTAATCACCCTTTCTGTGAAGAAATTCTTCCTAATGTCTAATGTAAACCTCCCTTGGTGCAGCTTGAGATTATGTCCTCTTGTCCTGTCTCTAGTTGCCTGGGAGAAGAGTCTGACCCCCACCTAGATATAACCTCCTTTCAGGTAGTTATAGACAGCGATAAGGTCACCCCAATCCTCTCTTCTCCAGGCTAAACAACTCCAGCTCCCTCAGACACTTTTCATATCACTTGTGTTCCAGACCCTTCATCAGCTCTGTTGCCCTTCTCTGGACTTGCTCCAGCACCTCAATGTCCTTCTTGAGGTGAGGGGCACAGAACTGGGCACAGTACACAAGGTGATGGACTCACCCGTGCTGGGTACAGGGAGAGGATCACTTCCCTAGTCCTGCTGGACACACAATTGTCGATACAGGCCAGGATGCCATTAACCTCCTTGGCCACTTGGGCACACTGCTAGCTGATGTTCAGAGCATGAACATATAGTGTGGGAATAGAAAATAATTTTACTTCAATTACAGAATGTATTTTCTTAGGCAGCCATTTTGTTCACTCTTCTTAGCGACAACTGATTCTGGATTTGCTTTTTGGTGGAACAGACACACTCACAGTTTCATGCTTTAAGAAACCAGTAAAAAATAACACATGCAAAGCATTCGTTGACCTGCATCCAATCTCTTCTTTAACCTAAAGTACACATATATGCAGTGGTGCCAATGATTACAGTTAAATCTGAGATAGTGAAAACAGATGTTGGAAATCTATCTGCATGTGTATTTAAGAACAGGGCTCAGTACTGTTCATCAGCCACTTATCTCTAGACAGATTAGTAAATGGATAAGACTTTGTATGGACATTCAGTTCCTGTTCTTGGCAATTAAGGAAATGATCCTGACATTCCTTGTGCTATTGAATTTAATTTAGGAAAGAATGTTGCCTAATAAACAAGGTCCCTAAGACTGAGATTTTACCAGGAGGCTGGCTAGCCTGACCTCACTTTCAAATTGCTTATTTACCTGGATTGGAAATTTATTTCAAAATCCTACCAAAATTACTCAAATACCACTGTCAAAATACCACTACTCCTAAGGCTGTCCTCTGTGAGGAGCCAGGGCTTGTCTCTCTTGTTCAGCAGAACTAACGAGCCATTTTATTATACAAAGTCAAGGGTTTTGCTTGTTTGGTTTTTGGGTTTTTTTTCATAGAGAAGACTCATCTAAACAAGATGCAGTTATGGCTTGTTCTGCCCTAAAGAAGATGTACAGGCGTGTATTGGGTAGTGGAGCATCTGCAATCGAAAGCAACCAGCCAGAGCTACCAGGAGAAAACCCAGCACTGAAGATCCTCTTTGTCCATTTGGATGGGCCTATGGACATCATTGCTGGCCGCCTGGGGAAGAGGAGAGGTCATTTTATGCCACCTGAACTTCTCAAGTCTCAGTTCAATACTCTGGAGCCTCCTAGTGCACCAGAAAACTTCATTACTGTCAGTCTAGAAAAATCTCTCTCTGAAATAGTGCTGGAGATTGAGAGTGCCATCCTTCATGGTGAGGCTCTGCAGGAGTAATTTTCTGAATGACACATATAGAAATGCCCTTAAGGATATCAAGGCGATGAATCTGGATTTTAATTATTAAGTTGATTATTAAATCAAACCAATTTATTTTTCATAGTACTGAAATGGATTGCAATATTAAGCGCTGGTTTACTACTCTTGGGCTTTTTTTATCATGGCTCTGTAAAAGACATATAAGATAAAACTTTCAAAAGCTGTCAACTTTTTAAACCCTTCACTGTATGAAGTTAACACTCCCATTTTAGTAAGAGCCTGCTTTGAAAATCCTGGCAAGGGTAACACAGATTAATTAATTTTCTTAATTTTGGTGTTTAGTCTGTCAGACATGGAGATGGGACATCTGCTATTATGAGATTAAATAGTTTGTTAGAAACTCTGTTTTTCTAGGAGAGTCAGTTGAACTTCATGCATGATGAAGTTCCATCCCTGACACTACCACTCTCACTGCCAGATTTTCCACAAGTTGCAGCTTCTCTTTTTGTCCTTGCTGACCTCACCAGAGCACTGATGACTTCATGAGAACTTTTGTGAACTCTTACTGCATACATTGAACACCAGGCTGACAAATGTGAGAAAAAAATGATAGTGGCGGTCAGGCAAGATACAAAATATAACTGTATGGAAAGCTTTAGAAATAAAGTATAAGTGGCATCATACTGGCTCTGAACTTGAGTCTTTCATGTACAAAGTGTACACATTGGAGTGTGAGTCAATCAGTGATTTAAAGTACTGAATGCAAGATCAATAGACATTTCCTTCTCCTAGAAAATTTACTCTTTCACAGTTGAACCTCCTCCTTCACTTCCCTTTTCTGGTGTGCTTTAGTCTTCCACCTCAGCCCATGCCCATCCACTGCTTTAAAGCTTTAGATCAAACTATTTCTAGTACGCATTTTCCACATCTTTTCCTGTGATCAGAAAATTCCTAATATCCAATCAGTTACCTAGCTCACATAATTTAAGGTTAAAATCCTTTTTTACTGCTGAAGTGTTTCTTAAAAAGTACTTTATATCATGTTACAGAAGGTGCCTTTTTAGCTTAATGAAATATTCAGTTTCTGTAAGAAAGATTTGAGTCTTGTCTGAATGGAGTTATCCTCATGTGCTGTTGCACGTGGATTACTTTTAGAGTGGCATGCAATATTTTTATTCCTAGGATGATGGATGAACTCCTCTAGAAGCAAACCTCATGTTCCAAAGCATCTTTAGTGCAATTCTTACCTGGGTAACTAGTTGAAAAACGTTTGTCTTCGTTCTCATTATATATGAGAATTATAAGAGCTTTGTGGTGTACTAGAGAGACTATTGTGCTTAGATCAGTACAATATATGGGCATTAGCTGACTGAAAGTGGCTGGTTTTAGATACAGAGTTGGGATCACAGGTATTAACATACCCATCCAAAGGTGTGTTAATTAAGAGGTCTTCTCCTGTATGTTTGTGACCTGAAGGGACAATACCAGGCAGCTACCAGTTTCAGTCTGCTGCTGTACACTACATCTTGCTCTCAATTCAGAGCCTGTTTGTTCTGAGAGCCAGGGTGCAAACTCAAGACTGAGAAGCAAAGTTAAGTGCAAGCGACAGACATGTCTGTCTCCTTCTTAAGGCCCTTAAATTTCAGAGACCCCTTCAGACCAAGTGACTTGTCAGAACTGTACAAGTTTAGTCGCTATGAAAATCACAGAAACGGCACCCTCTTGTGGTACCTCTGTTTTTAATGATTTCTTTCTTCATCTTTTCCTATACACCATTTTACAAACAAAGAGCTTTCATTAAATACAGATTTATGCTCACTTTTTTCAGCCACAATAAAACCAGATTAGGACACTGTACAGTGATGGGAAAGCAGCTGCATCCTGTCACAGACAGATACAATCAGACCTTTAAATAATTTTTTTTACACAGGACAGCATTTTCAAATGTGAGTTCTGAGAAGGCCAGACTCTAATTTTCAGATCTACTTGATCAGCATTTATAGAGTGCTCAGAAGGTGGTTGTCACCAACAGAAAATTGTATTCAACAGTTAAAAATCATTCCCTTTTAGGGAAGTTCATGTAAGAACCTTGGATTTTTGAAGTCTTCTAAATAAACTAGCATGTTTGTACTTACAGGCAGTTCATGCTTCTTCAAATTAGGTCAGGGTATTTCTCACTCTGCATCTATGCCAGAAATATTTCCTTCTCTTAACCTTTTAATATATTTGCATTTTGCTTTTACTTAAAGACGCTGCATAGAAGGTTGTTGTCAATTTCATCAGTTAAGTAGTCTGTTACGTGCTACTCTGAAAGACAACAGAGCAGTACTTTGTTCACTTATATCCTGTGCATCACAAATTAAGATTAAGATGTGAATTACCCAAATACAAACCACGTGAAACCGCTGTCTGATTTTAATGAGGTCGTGCATGTGTACAGTGGAAGAAAAAGAGAGCGGAACAACCCCTGCCCAAACACAATCCTACTATATTCCACTTAATTAAATTTGGGTTTGTTTGGTTTTTTGTTGTGGGGTTTGTTTGGGATTTTTGTTCATTTATTGCTTTTTTTTCTTAAAGAACTTGATGATATATTAGGGATATTGTATTTGGGGTTATTTGGACAGGTTATTAATATTTAGCACAGCTTATCTGGATGCAAGTGTTCTGTCCATATTTTGAAATATATTTAGCAAATGCAGCAAAAAATTGAGGAGGAAATACCTGAGTTAGAAACTGCTTTTTCTGTCTCTGCTATGAGCACAAGTTATCAATGGAAGGCACATGCACTATACATCCTCAAGAATTTGTGCTAAGCACAGTTTGTAACATGCTGTATAAATACTGTACCTACTATAGCATAAACGTTTCCATACTAAAATGACGAAATAAAAATGAAATTCTGGCTATCCCAATGGCAGTATGCATTCATACATTAAACACAGGAGGACAGAGTCATTAAACTGCACAGGTTATCTATACAGGCACAGAAACAGACCCAGCGAGCTCAGCTCTAAATTGAGACGGCTATTAATTTTTTTCATTAATAATATTTATTATGCAGGAAGTGAACCAAGAAGAGAATTTGGCAGACCACATCCTTTACAAAACTAGCCATCTTGCTGTCACATTCCCAACAGTGTTTCATTTGAATTTACCTATTTTAAGTCTTTTAAAAGGCATCTGCCAGTTCACACTACCATGACTTTTAGATTTTTCTTTTTGCAGCAGTTACTTTCTCTAGTAGTTTGATGATCAGGCCAGGCAATTTTGCAGACAATCCTGTCAGATCACTTGGCCCAATACAGGGGAAAAGAGGAAACTAGGAAAATAAAATGACAGCCTCCAGACACACGTGCCCTTCTGGTCCAAAATGCAAGCAGCAGATTTCAATGCAGGTTATCAAAGTGCTCAGAGTTATTAAGATTGCTTCTGAAAAAGGAGGTAGATAACTCTGAAGAGAGAATTTTAAAGAGGGACAGGAAAAGGGGCAATGGGAGCAGTGGAGGGAGAAGGAATTGGGAGGGGGCACAAACACAAAAAATATGCTATTAAACCAACAAGTGTAGGGTTGTGTGTAATAAAATCTACCCTATCTGTAAATCTTCTTCTGCTTACTGTCTTTTCGAACAAAACCAAAATTTCTGCTATGCAAAAGATGACTCCGTTTTACCACTACTTACTGGAAACTTGGTAACCGTTAACCAGTTGACAATAGTAACTGATAAATATTGATTCTACTTCAAGAAGGAAACAGCTGAAGGCTCAGCATGGGATATAGGTGCAACTTCATCTCATGCTGAATGCAATAAAATTTGCTTCAAATGTGGCATCTCTTAGTTCAGAACATGCAACTGGAATACTTACATAGGTGTATTGAATGTTGTCTCAAGAAACTGTTCATGCTAGTTAGATTAATTCATTTAGTCTTTCTCTCTTTTCCATCTTTATTCTCTCCTCTGTTTTATCCTGGCAAGTGCAGCAATTCATATTCTCCCACTTACTCAATACCTCACGTTTATTCTGAGAGTTGGGAGTTTGTTAAAATTTGTTGTAAAAGTTGAGAGCTTATTTGCCAACACTTCAACTAAATAGTAGGCTAGTTGCTGGAGTACTAGGTACCTCATTGAGAAAAGTTTTAGGTACCTCATTGAGAAAAAACTAGAGAAAACATGGCTCCTTTCAAGAATCACACAAAGACCTGATTACCCAGGACACGGAGAAGGCTGAGGTACTCAAAGACTTTACTATTCTCAGTCTTCACCAGCAAGTATTCCAGCCACATCACCCAAGTTGCAGAAGGTGAAATCAGGGATTGGGAGAATGAAGAACCACCCCATGCAGGAGAAGATCAGGTTCAAGACCATTTAAGGAACCTGAAGGTACACAAGTCTGTGAGACCTGATAGAACTGGCTGAGGAAGTGGCTAAGCTACCATCCATCATATATGAGAAGTTGTGGCAGTGTGGTGAAATTCCCATACACTGGAAAAGGAGAAACATAACATGCATTTATTTTTGAAAAGGGAAATCAGGAAGACCTGGGGAACCACAGGCCTGTCAGTCTCACCTCACTGTCTGGCAAGATCATGGAGCAGATCCTGTACTGCTGAGTAGAGGAAACTGCACCATGGCATGTGGAAAATAAAGAAATGACTGGGGACAGCCAACACGGCTTCTCTAAGGGCAAGGTGTGCCGGACAAATTTGGTGGCTGCCTGTGTGGGGGTTGCAGTGGTGGTGGATGAGGGAAGAGGAACTGACATCATCAACCTGAACTTGGAGCATTTGACACCATCCCACACGAGTTGTCTCTAAACTGAAGAGATATGTATTTGACAGATGGATCACTCAGTGGATAAGGAATTGACTAGATGATCACACTCAAAGGGTTGCAGTCAATGGCTCAATGTCCAAGTGACATTCCTCAGGGATCAGTACTGGGATGGGCACTGTGTAACATCTTTGTCAGTGATGTGGACAGTGGGATCAGTTGCACCCACAGGAAATTTGCGGACAACATCAAGCTGTGTGTGGCAGCTGACATGCTAGAGGGAAGGGACGTGCCATCCAGAGGGACCTTGACAGGCCTGAGAGGTGAAAAAGTGCAAACCT